TTTACTTTGTTTTATGGAAATTAGTTTTTATGTATCTCAAATGTGACTAATAAATAGTCATCAAAAGTAGGACCAAGGATGTAAGTCTTGATAATAAAAAAATCAGGACAATCGAGGTTTGAGAAATCAAGGTTTGACTGTATCAAGTACCATTGAAACTCAGGATAGCGACAGAAAAAGTGTCTAGTAACCTTGGATTTGAAGCTGTGATGGGAGGCGAAATAGTTTAATACTGCCATTTAGATTACAATATTCTTGACTAGATGGCATCCTTTTTATTGGATGGCATCCCTTGAATTATACATTAAGGTCACAAGAATAAAGAAAATGATCACCAACAAAAGAAGCTCTTGATTGTTATACAGATTCTCCATATCAGCACCTTAAATAATGTATAGAGAACAGTTTGGAGAATATGCGTGGATGTAAAGGGTTAAAGTACCATTTCTTGTATTTGTTTGTAAAAGGCTTAAATCCTGATTTTTCCTTCTTTGCAGCTTGAATTTTGTGAAAAAGAGAAACAAGTACTTTCTGAAAGGGTTGCAGAACTTGAGGAACAGCTAACAGAAGAACAACGTCATGAACTTGAAGTCAAGTTGGAAACGTCTGAAAAACACATACCTCTTATTTGTGTTGGTGACAACAGTGAAGATGATGACATCATATTTATTTTGCCTGAGGACTATTCTCCCAGAAAGAGGTTGAAAATTGACCATGAAAAGAAAGCTCATAGGATTGGTGACCAAGATAACCAGGCTAAAAAAGACCTAGCTATTACTTACTACAAACCTGGTACAAATCTACCACATGCCAGGGAAAACTGTACAGCTCACAAGTTTGTTCAGAGCAATGTAACTACAGCAACAGTATCATGTAATGAGAACTATTGTGAGCAGTGCTATTGTTATGTATGTGATGCTAATGTGAAAGAGGTGAGTTATTTTCTGCTTTATATGTAGAAATGTAATTTGAACAAAGTCCTAGGAAAATGCATTGGTTAAGAGTATGCCAACCTATGTCCAAATGTCTAAGAAACAGAAATTCTGAGCAGATGAGTATAGCTTCTAAATGGCTCGTCTGTGGAACACCTGCATTGTAAAATTTCTCTCCAACCCACAGATGGGTCTGGAACTTGAAAAGACTTGAGAGTACAAAATGCAGTGTTTAAATGTTTTGGTCAGTTATGGTAACATCTGGGCAGATAATTGCTTCATTTATTGTATTACATAAAAAATGTTTCCTTTGTTTTCTCACATTGGTAGTGTAATTCCTGGAAGACTGGCACTAATCCTCATTGCAATGCATACTCTAAGAATGCGTTTTGGGAAAAACTTCGAAAGATGGCAAAGAGAAAAGTGGTATGTTTAACTGAAGTGTTGTGAAACATTGTGTGGTAATATTTTATTTTTGGTTCAATGTTGATTAATATTTACACATATATTTACACATATAACAGGTCACAAGAATTAGATGCTTGCATTGCATTAAATCTTTTACCCAAAGAATTATTCTAATTTATTTTGTACCCAGGAAGGAATTCTCATACTACTAAATTAAGCAACAAGAGCCTACTGTAGAAAGTAGCAACACCTTGAGCAACCATCTTCTAAAGCTGAAAAGTAATTTTTAAAAAAAGTTTTTGGTTGAAGTTTTTGTCTTATTACTTAACATACACTGTGCATGTAGCATACATACAGTATCCAATTTGTTTCCACCAATTGAAAATTAATTATTAGTTTATAGCTTGCACACATAT